GAGGATAGACTCTATCCTCTCCATCCCCTTCACCCCACTCCACCACCTCCACCCCCTTCATCCCTCCACCCACTGAAAGTTTCCCTGGGGAATCAGCTAGCCAATAAATTTCAGTGGGTGGAGTGGGTGGAGGGGATGGAGGAGGTGGAGGAGGTGGAGGGGGTGGAGGGGATTGAGGGGTTGGTGGAGAATTGGCTGTTACATCGGATTATTTTGGCTATTTTTCCAATGCATAGGACATAAATGTCTCTTTATCAAACTGGCAATTTTATATCTAACTCATTCACCCCTGATGACACATTTTAACTCTTCCAATTCAAAGGTTGGAATAGTTCATTATGAAACTTCAGGGATGAATGAGTTAATTATCATCCTTAAAGAAATGGTCAATGTATTAGCAAATAATCGTGTTCAATTACTGGTGTAAACTGAAAACTGTTCCCTAAATGGTGAGGCGGCAATACATGGTAAGTGTACACTGTACATGTACTGAAGGATCCCACATGATTGCACCTCTTAGCTAGCTTGGATATCAAAATGTTCTCCTTATAATCGTTTGATCTTACTGTCAGAAATCTTGGACATTTTTAAAACGTTTAATTACTATTTTTGTGGTTTACTAAATATCTAGACTGTTGTTGAAGTTTCTAGACAGACAGATTGATCCGATACCACAGAAATCTTGTTCGGAGTTGTTTAGATTAAACGAATCACCCAGAACATTATCCCTGTCCTGTTCTCAGTCATTAAACGGATCTCTAATCAGATAACATGGGGTTTAAGGAAATGAGCAAACACACATCTTATACTGTATATTTTTGATTCCCAGAGAAAAACCATTGCCGACTGTTGTCTGTTTTTGATCACCAGAACAAGTAGCAGTCAGGACTGAAGTTTGATACTAGATGTTTGTAGTAATAGGCTCTGAAGCAGTCTAGCGCTCCTTGCAGTCCCGCACCCAAAGAGATGTATTTTCTCTGGACTTGTGTATACATATCTCTATATAAACATGTTGACTCATTATAAAACATGAATACAACATATTTCACATGAGGAAGAAAATGAAATTCATCACGCTGGTGCACTAAGATCCATCAGGCCAGTACAGCTCTGGAGGAGAAACCTGAACTCTCGGTTCTACAATCAGGCCCTGCACTTTTAGTGTGTTTAAATGATTTCCAAATTTCCTTACATTATGACTTAAGTTATATACTCCTGTGTTATAAGTCGAGAATCTTAAGGAGTTGTGCATCATACGCATTGAGTCAATAACCTAAAGATCTAAGGGCAATAATACAAACTGAAGCCGGAGGTGTTGAAACTTTTACATGACATTCCAAGATATTACAACAAATATTATCTTTATATTGATCTGAATTTGCTGACTATCTCCAACAAGGCGCGGTAGTCTAGTGGTAGGACACCGGGCTCGTGACCGAAGGGTTGTGGGTTCGAGTCACGGCATGGCGTGTCACTGTGTTAATTTGTATCTTTGAACAAGAAACTTTACTCCGCTTGTTCCAGTCTACTCAGCTGTAAATGAGTACGTGGTTGCATGGGCAGTGTTAGAATTTTGAATGCTAACTGTGAGTGCTGAAATGGCAGCACCGGCTGTATGCTCCCCAGGGAGTTGAGAAAGATATTGGCTGGTTGCAAATGAAAGGCCCTATAACCGCAGATGTTAATTTGTGAACAGCTTTGAGACGACCTACGAACTAGGTTGTGATAAAGCGGTACAGTTGAACCTCATTATCTTGAACTCTTATAACTGGAAGACCCCGTTTATCTTGAAGTATTTCTCCGGTCCCGGCCAAATCTCTTCTTAATCTTAGTAAATAAAACTCTGATAATTCAAACCCTTAAAACTAAAAAAAAACGTTACCTCGAAGTAAGATATTGGTTTCAACAGCGTAAATCCAACATCAAAACCTCGTCTACTTCATAGTGTTTGAATTTAATTTTGTCACTTATCTATTCTTTGATACACAAAAAAAGCATAACTACAGCATCTCGCCATCCCATGTTTATGAACAACTTTCGTGAGTAGACTAGCTCGAAAACGGTAAAAATATTTCATGATAAAGCTTAAGAATGTAAAGTGTGCGGACTGTCAAAATCAGGATGTTCATAAAAAAAAGTCCTAACCGGAAAATTGGTCACAAAGCGTGGTCATGCATAAAAGAGTTCCACAGTTAAAATCACAACATAGGACAGCTTCACAGGTTCATGTTGTTACAGGAGCCAGTATGGCTTTGACAGTTGATCGATTTTAAGAACAATACGATATATAACTGCTGTTGATTACATCAAGTTGAGGAGGTGTCTGGTGTCATAATTAGCTTTAACGAATCAATGTGTTACACGTACGATAGAATCTGTTTGTGTTTGTTTTCATTTACAGAATCAACTGTGCATACGCTCCATTACAGTGATTTGTTTTAGACTTGCTCACTTTCATTTCCGCATTGTAGAGTACGAGGACGGAGACAGCGGGATTGTTCGATTTTTAAATGTAACACTTGAGAGGTCAAACTTGGCGGACTTGCAAAGTTCTACAAATGCAGATTCGGAAAGACTTAAATTGCCAAGACTATAGCCAAAATGTACATTTAATCACTATAGGCCCGTCCATATTTCTTAATTCACCATATGGTTAAAACCTTTCAATCGCGTAAAACGAAAATACGTTTTTCGGACCTGTATTTGTTATATTAATTACGTATATCAGTCATTGATTGATTATAAGTATTGGTTATTCATACAAATCAACGACTGCTAATGATTTGTCCGAATAGCAAATTTCATACCAGTTATATGAACCCGCATAACTTGAAGTTTTCCCATGACTCCGTCGACTTCGAGACAAAGAGGTTTGTTTGTATATAAGTACCTCAAACTATTTTTATCATTATTAACAACAACACATATATTCTGTCAACTACTTGTTAGATCTTGAAACTTCCCTCTCATGAAAGTTAACTACTGCACCGTTGGGTTCTCTTAGAATGTCCTATAACATCTGTGCTTCCACTGGACGTATCTCAAACAAGGCTGAATATTACAAACAATATAATAGTGTCCACTTTCTCTGGACAAAGGTCGGTATCAGTGTTGAACAAAGGGCTGTAACTCTGTATATCATGGGGCTAAAGACCCACCATTCTCCACCTTCCTAAATACATAATTTGGCAATAACAAGTGACACAGTATACCAGATACATGCCCTGACAATACCATACACAGTGAATAAAGGGCCGTAACTCCGTATATAAAAAGGAATGAAACATGATTTCAGTACAAAACACTTCCTCATTCCTAGAGGAAAACATAGGCAAAATTTGGCAATTATTAAGGTAAAAGAATGGGATATGCCCACGATAAAGTGACACAAGCACTGACAGAATGTGCAGGTCCACGAAAAAGTGACACAAGAACTGACAGAATGTGCAGGCCCACGATAAAGTGACACAAGCACTGACAGAATGTGCAGGTCCACGATAAAGTGACACAAGCACTGACAGAATGTGCAGGTCCACGATAAAGGGACACAAGCATTGACAGAATGTGATATGTCCACGATAAAATGACACAAGCACTGACAGAGTGTGCAGGTCCACCATAAAGTGACACAAGAACTGACAGAATGTGCAGGTCCACGATACAGTGACACAAGAACTGACAGAATGTGCAGGTCCATTATAAAGTGACACAAGCACTGACAGAATGTGCAGGTCCACCATAAAGTGACACAAGCACTGACAGAATGTGCAGGTCCACGATAAAGTGACACAAGCGCTGACAGAATGTGCAGGTCTATGATAAAGTGACACAAGCACTGACAGAATGTGCAGGTCCACCATAAAGTGACACAAGCACTGACAGAATGTGCAGGCCCACGATAAAGTGACACAAGCACTGACAGAATGTGCAGGTCAACGATAAAGTGACACAAGCACTGACAGAATGTGCAGGTCCACGATAAAGTGACACAAGCACTGACAGAATGTGCAGATCCACGATAAAGTGACAAGCATTGACAGAATGTGCAGGTCCATGCCAATACCAGAAGATCAGGTTTTTCTGGCTGCTATTCATTATTGGTAGAACAAGTTTGATATCAACTCAAAGAATCACACTGATGTATCTAATTAAATCCTGAACGTGGCAACCCTCAGAGAGCTCTGCCAAGGCTGGTAACTCTAGCCAGATTTAAGAGGTTTCACAAACAAAACATGAGTAGTTTGTATAAAATAAAAACATCAGACATCGTATTTCCATTTCATTCTTATCAACAGACTGACAGCGATGGAAATCATTCCACTGCATAAAAAGGAGGTCTCCAAAACACATTTTATACACAGCATTTATAGGTCGTTTACTGACTAGCACTGTATTCGAGGTAATAAGGACGCTGAGTGAGAGTAAAAACAACAAAAACACATCAGTATTTTACCATGTAAGTTTTTCAAATGGCTTGTGGCACCTTCATTACAGCAGGCTCTCTTACTTGGGCAAATACAGCATGCAATGTAACATTGTGTTGCTTACTGATTTTAACCCTTTCACCCCTATGTAACTTTAGCAGACTCTGCCATGCATTGATATGGATGAGTCCATTATGGTCTACAGTGGTGAAAGGGTTAAGGTACAAGATTTTAAGTACTCCCTTCTCTGTTGTCAAATATATTAATATACTTATAGACACAATTTTGTGTACTCCCTTCCCTGTAGTCATATATATATAATCATACAGAACCAAATTGTGTATGCTTCCTTTCCTGTTGTCTCTGAACAAGAGTTTGTATGCTCCCTTGCATAATGTCTCCTGTCCAAGAGTTTGTGTCATGATTATCAGAATCTTTAAACTGTGAACCCTAGACAAGCAGATTAATACAGCGACAATGATCACTGAAATTGTACATAAAAGTGACAGCAAAGATACAAAATCAATACATCAAATATAAAATGCAGTGTGTGTGTGTGCAGAAACATAATATTACCTTCCAATAAACTGCAAAAAGGATTGGACCCTTCTTATGATTCAGTAAACAGGTAATCCACTCGTCACGACCACAGGTAATCCACTGGTCAGGACAACAGGTAATTCACCGGTAACTACCACAGGTAATTCAGAAGTAATCTACAGGTAATCGTCAGGTCACGACCACAGGTAATGTCTCTGAGAAATGTTCAAGGTTTTGTTTATCTCCTTCAGTTTCATGTCAATGCATTAGATCCATAAACTCACATCAACTCTCGATCATCACGGAAGGAAAGTGTCGGGGGAAAACTGAAAATATACAAAACAGGAAAACATTTTAACATGTAGAACAAGGGATTGTGTGCAATGCCCATTTAACTAACAGTATCAACTAACAGAAGCTTTCCTTTTTTTCAAACCTGGAGTTAGACCGAGCTTCCATTTTCGATCTTTTGCCAGTAATCTCTGTCTTTCTTACTCTTCTGGCATATTCAAACAATTTCCCAGTGATATAAGGGGTCCAATACTAGATGTATTCCACAGTAAATTATCAAACTAGAAAACAATACCATGTAAATACTGACCATGTCAACTTTTGGTAAACTTCTATAAATAGTAATGGTGACTTAGGCCTTGACCTTGGAACTCTGAAATAAAAACTCATTATATAAATGTAAAGCTTGACTGAAATTTGTTCAGAATTAAAATTGGTATATTGATGTCTCTGAACTGGTCGACAAATTTATATAAAGTAACAGTGACCTTGACCTTTAGCTTGGAACCCTGAAATAAATATGGACTCACTCCCAATAATTTTTATACTTGACCTTAAAATAAGTTTGATATAAATCTGTTTTGAGTAAAGTCGCTGGATTGTGACCGAAGGGGACAGGATCAAGAGTAACATTATATGTCCCTCGATCTACATTGGCTGGGGTAGACAAACTTTTATCTGGCTACAACTTGGGTTGTGAAAATATTCCAGCTTGCTAATCTACTCCATACTTTGTTAGGTATTACAGCCTGACATATATGGCTGCTGATGTGAGCTGATTGAAGATGACAAGAATAGGGAGAGGAAGGAAACTAGTTAATGCTTTAACTAGAACACTGGACCAACGCAGGATACTGTATAGCATTGCATTCTATATATATATTTATACAGATTTACACACAAGAGAAAAAAATCTTCCTGTAAAATTTCAGCAAATATTTCCTGTTCTCCACCCAAGTCAAAACAAATTAATATCACAGCTGAGAATTTTCAAACAAAACAGGCCAACATGTAACCTATAGCGTATTACCATCCTGTGAAACTGGCATGTACAGATCAACATGTAACCTGTAACCTCTAGTGTATTACCATCCTGTGATACTGGCATGTACAGGCCAACATGTAACCTATAGTGTATTACCATCCCGTGAAACTGGCATGTACAGATCAACATGTAACATGTAACCTATAGTGTATTACCATTCTGTGAAACTGGCAAGTACAGGCCAACATGTAACCTATAGTGTATTACTATCCTGTGATACTGGCAAGTACAGGCCAACATGTAACATATAGTGTATTACCATCCTGTGAAACAGGCATGTACATGCCAACATGTAACCTATAATGTATTACCATCCTGTGAAACTGGCAAGTACACGCCAACATGTAACCTATAGTGTATTACCATCCTATGAAACTGGCATGTACAGGCCAACATGTAACCTATAGTGTATTACCATCCTGCGAAACTAGCAAGTACAGGCCAACATGTAACCTATAGTGTTTGACCATCCTGTGAAACTGGCAAGTACAGGCCAACATGTAACATATAGTGTATTACCATCCTGTGAAACTGGCATGTACAGACCAACATGTAACCTATAGTGTATTACCATCCCGTAAAACTGGCAAGTACAGGCCAACATGTAACCTATAGCGTATTACCATCCTGTGAAACTGGCAAGTACACGCCAACATGTAACCTATAGTGTATTACCATCCTATGAAACTGGCATGTACAGGCCAACATGTAACCTATAGTGTATTACCACCCCGTGAAACTGGCATGTACAGATCAACATGTAACAGGTAACCTATAGTGTATTACCATTCTGTGAAACTAGCAAGTACAGGCCAACATGTAACCTATAGTATATTACTATCCTGTGAAACTGGCAAGTACAGGCCAACATGTTAACCTATAGTGTATTACCATTCTGTGAAACTAGCAAGTACAGGCCAACATGTACCCTATAGTGTATTACCATCCTGTGAAACTGGCATGTACAGGCCAACATGCAACCTATAGTGTATTACCATCCTGTGAAACTAGCAAGTACAGGCCAACATGTACCCTATAGTGTATTACCATCCTGTGAAACTAGCAAGTACAGGCCAACATGTAACATATAGTGTATTACCATCCTGTGAAACTGGCAAGTACAGGCCAACATGTAACATATAGTGTATTACCATCCTGTGAAACAGGCATGTACAGGCCAACATGTAACCTATAATGTATTACCATCCTGTGAAACTGGCAAGTACAGGCCAACATGTAAACTATAGTGTATTACCTTCCTGCGATACTGGCAAGTACAGGCCAACATGTAACATATAGGGTATTACCATCCTGTGAAACAGGCATGTACATGCCAACATGTAACCTATAATGTATTACCATCCTGTGAAACTGGCAAGTACAGGTCAACATGTAACCTACAGTGTATTACCATCCTGTGAAACTGGCAAGCACAGGCCAACATGTAACCTATAGTGTAATACCATCCCGTGAAACTGGTAAGTACAGGCCAACATGTAACCTATAGCGTATTACCATCCTGTGAAACTAGCAAGTACAGGCCAACATGGAACCTATAGTGTATTACCATCCTGTGAACCTGGCAAGTACAGGTCAACATGTAACCTACAGTGTATTACCATCCTGTGAAACTGACAAGTACAGGCCAACATGTAACCTATAGCGTATTACCATCCTGTGAAACTAGCAAGTACAGGCCAACATGTAACCTATAGCGTATTACCATCCTGTGAAACTAGCAAGTACAGGCCAACATGGAACCTATAGTGTATTACCATCCTGTGATATTGGCAAGTACAGGCCAACATGTAACTCTGCATCTCTTAGAAATAGGCGTGAAACTGGCAAGTACAGGCCAACATCATCCTGTGAAACTAGCAAGTACAGGCCAACATGTAACATATAGTGTATTACCATCCTGTGAAGCAGGCATGTACAGGCCAACATGTAACCTATAGTGAATTACCATCCTGTGAAACTGGCAAGTACAGGTCAACATGTAACCTACAGTGTATTACCATCCTGTGAAACTGGCAAGCACAGGCCAACATGTAACCTATAGTGTATTTCCATCCCGTGAAACTGGAAAGTACAGGCCAACATGAAACCTATAGTGTATTACCATCCCGTGAAACTGGCACGTACAGCTAGGCCAACATGTAACCTATAGTGTATTACAATCCTGTGAAACTGGCAAGTACAGGCCAACATCATCCTGTGAAACTAGCAAGTACAGGCCAACATGTAACCTATAGCGTATTACCATCCTGTGAAACTAGCAAGTACAGGCCAACATGTAACATATAGGGTATTACCATCCTGTGAAACAGGCATGTACAGGCCATCATGTAACCTATAATGTATTACCATCCTGTGAAACTGGCAAGTACAGACCAACATGTAACCTATAGGGTATTACCATCCAGTGAAACTAGCAAGTACAGGCCAACATGTAACCTATAGTTTATTACCATCCCGTGAAACTGGCAAGTAAAGGCCAACATGTAACCTATAGTGTATTTCCATCCCGTGAAACTGGAAAGTACAGGCCAACATGAAACCTATAGTGTATTACCATCCCGTGAAACTGGAAAGTACAGGCCAACATGAAACCTATAGTGTATTACCATCCCGTGAAACTGGAAAGTACAGGCCAACATGAAACCTATAGTGTATTACCATCCCGTGAAACTGGGAAGTACAGGCCAACATGTAACCTATAGTGTATTACCATCCCGTGAAACTGGCAAGTACAGCTAGGCCAACATGTAACCTATAGTGTATTACCATCCTGTGATACTGGCAAGTACAGGCCAACATGTAACTCTGCATCTCTTAGAAATAGGTCTAAATTTTAGTTGTAATAGTCTAATACCATTCCCAAAGAAAGATTAAGTTAATTACTTCACAACTACCTTACATATTGATCAAGTTTACAAAGTTTAATTGAAATCTGCTCAGGTCTTCAGCAGTAGGTCAGACAAAGGTCAGACAAAGGTCAGAAAACAGACAGGTTCTAGTATACCCCAAAACTTTGTTGAGGGGAAACACAAATATTGGTCAGATGGTTATACCACTATGATTCTTACCATAAAAAGTGATTTGTTTTAAGTCCTAGTTATTTAATTAGCCTTTCATTAGGTGACAATGTCAGGTCAACTCAAAGTCATGGTCAACTTGAATTGTATACAAGGTCATTGTCAAGGTCAGAATTGATCCTGTGACCATGACAACAAACTGAGAAAGATAACCTAGACTCAGAGGGCATGATTGCAAGCAGACCAACCTAAAAAAGTTGGCAAGGGGTTTGATAATTATCAGTCTCATTAAGGGCTCAAACATGTTCTACAATCATGTGATCAGCTCTGCAGCTTTGGAGAACAGAACAGACCTACTGTACCCCAGGTGTTATCGTAAGGGAACAAACCTACTGTATCCCAGGTGTTATCATAAGGGAACAAACCTACTGTATCCCAGGTGTTATTGTAAGGGAACAGACCTACTGTATCCCAGGTGTTATCGTAAGGGAACAGACCTACACTATCCCAGGTGTTATCGTAAGGGAACAGACCTACTGTATCCCAGGTGTTAAGGTAAGGGAACAGACCTACTGTATCCCAGGCGTTATCGTAAGGGAACAGACCTACTGTATCCCCGGTGTTATCGTAAGGGAACAAACCTACTGTATCCCCGGTGTTATCGTAAGGGAACAAACCTACTGTATCCCCGGTGTTATCGTAAGGGAACAAACCTACTGTATCCCCGGTGTTATCGTAAGGGAACAAACCTACTGTATCCCAGGTGTTATTGTAAGGGAACAAACCTACTGTATCCCAGGTGTTATTGTAAGGGAACAAACCTACTGTATCCCAGGTGTTATCGTAAGGGAGCAGACCTACTGTATCCCAGGTGTTATCGTATGGGAACAGACCTACTGTATCCCAGGTGTTAAGGTAAGGGAACAGCCCTACTGTATCCCAGGTGTTATCG